GTTTTTTGTACTTTTTAGTAGAGACGGGGTTTCACCGTGTTAGCCAGGATGGTCTCGATCTCCTGACCTCGTGATCCGCCCGTCTCGGCCTCCCAAAGTGCTGGGATTACAGGCTTGAGCCACCGCGCCCGGCCCAATAATTTGTAATTTGAAGGCGATAAATAGTTGTGGTAACTTCTGGGTGTGAGGGAAGGCCTCTGGAGGAGTGAATATATGACCTGAGATCTGAGTATCAGGAAGGAACTAGCCTTGAGAATATCTGAAGGGAGAGTAGAGAGCATAGTTGTGCAAAGGCCCCGAGGCAAGGATGAGTCCATAACGTTTAAAGGACAGACGGAAGGTTGATGTGGCTCCAGGGAAATTAATGAGGGGAGACTGTCAGGGGATAAGATAGAAGAGGCGCACAAGGACCAGATCATGCACAATTTTATAGGTCATGGCAAGGAGTTTGAAGTTTATTCTAACTGTGATGGGGAGCCACTGGACAGTTTTGAGTGGGGAAGTGACACGGTTTGATTTATGTTTTTCTTTTCCTTTTTTTTTTGAAACGGAGTCTTGCTCTGTCGCCCAGGCTAGAGTGCAGTGGTGCAATCTTGGCTCACTGCAATCTCTGCCTCCTGGGTTCAAGTGATTCTCCTGCCTCAGCCTCCCAAGTAGCTGGGACTACAGGTGCCCGCCACCATGCCTGGCTACTTTTTGTATTGTTAGTAGAGAGAGGGTTTCACCATGTTGGTCAGGCTGGCCTTGAACTCCTGACCTCTTGATCTGCCTGCCTCGGCCTTCCAAAGTGCTGGGATTACGGGCGTGAGCCACCACACCTGGCTGATTTATGTTTTTCAAAGATCTCTTTGGCTGTTGTGGACAATGGATTATGAGGGGGTGGTGAGAGTGGAAGCAGCGAGATCAGTTGTGGCCCAGATGAGAAATGAGGATAGTCTCCTTTGGTTTAATTTTTTTTTTTTTTTGAGATGGGATCTCACTCTATTGCCCAGGCTAGAGTGCAATGGAGCAATCATGACTCACTTGCAGCCTCCACCTTCCAGCCTCAAGGATCCTCCTGCCTCAGCCTCCTAAGGAGGATAGTCTTCTTATTCTGAAATGGTTAGGATAACCACAGCAGAAAGAAAGGAGGAGTGGGTGCAAACCTCATACCTGTCTCCTTCTGTCTCATCCCATCTGCTGCCAGGATTCCCATGGTGAGGGGTTTCCTAGTGGAGTCAGGAGATATAGGGGAATGGGTGGGTGCCAGATTCACTACAGTGGCAGAAAGGAGGAGGAGATGAAGGTACCCAGTGCTGTGGCCACCCAAATGCCCCTGGCTTTTATACCACCAATCTTCTAACCTTTCCCGAACATGAATGATGAGGATGGGGATTAAAAACAACAAACATGCAAAAAAAGCTTTGTGGGTTTTTTTTGTTTTTTTTGAGATGGAGTCTTGCTCTGTCACCCAGGTTGGAGTGCAATGACATGATCTCGGCTTACTGCAACCTCTGCCTCCCAGGTTCAAGCGATTCTCCTGCCTCAGCCTCCTGAGTAGCTGGGATTACAGGTGCCCGCCACCACACCCAGTTAATTTTTGTATTTTTAGTAGAGATGGGGTTTCACCATGTTGGCCGGGCTAGTCTCGAGCTCCTGACCTCCGGTGATCTGCCCGCCTTGGCCTCCCAAAGTGCTGGGATTACAGGCGTGAGCCACCGTGCCTGACCTAAATACACAAACAAATCTTAAAAACCTACTTTCTGAGTGTTTACAAAACGCTAAGCACTGTTCTTATATACATATATTAATTCACTTCATCTCAAAATAACCCTGAAATGTAGATACCATTATCTCATTTTACAGTTGAGGAATCTTTGGCACAGAGAGAGGCAATAACCTGCTTAGTCATGCAGCTAGGGGCAGAGCCAGAATTTGAATGCAGGTAGTTGGCCCTGAGAGTCAGAGCTCTCAACTGCTACACTGAATTGCTTCTGCATGGTAGAAGGTGAGACTAAAGCCTGTGTATTGTGTGTTTATCATTCCTTTGAAAATATAGTTCTTTACTAAAATAGCAATGTGAGTGAGTTACTATTCCCTATAAATGATAAGGGAATGCAAAATTAAAGAACGAGATTTTTAAAAGTATCTGTAGGCCGGGCATGGTAACTCATACCTATAATCCCAGCACTTTGGGAAGCTAAGGCGGGTGAATCACCTGAGGTCAAGAGTTCAAGACCACCCTGGCCAACATGGTGAAACCCCATCTCTACTAAAAATACAAAAATTAGCCAGGTGTGGTGGCACACACTGGTAATCCCAGCTACGTGAGAGGCTGAGACATGAGAATTGCTTGAACCCGGGAGGCAGAGGTTGCAGGGAGCTGAGATCCTGCCAGTGCACTCCAGCCTGGGTGACAGAGTGAGACTCTGTCTCAAAAATAAAAAAATTTAAAAAGTACCTATAGATGTTCTCACAGGTACTTTCTCTTTTATCATTTGATCATTATTTCTGTTAATAATTAACACTTATTTGAATGGAAATTGATATAGCCCCAGGCTGAAAACAGTCTAAGGTCTAAGGACTTTGAGCTCAGGCTCTTCTATAGCTACATGTTTGAGATCTGATGAGGTTCCTTGTAAAGGTCTTCATTTCTCAATCTGCCTTCCTGCTGGACCCACAGAGCCAAAAGGCTACTTGTCTCCTGATCACACCTGGTGACATGTCCATGAGCTGCCCTCACTGCTTCACTGTAGGGTTTCCAGTTAAGATATGGGACATGCTTATGCTAAAAAATTATTCATTGTTTATCTAAAATTCAGATTTAACAGAATTAATCTGCAAATTTGGCAGTCCTGTTCCCTGGCCTTTACAGAGTCTGCAGAAAATACCCCTCTCATCCCTTGTCTCTTGTGGTTGCCAAAAAGAGGCCCAAATAACCCACATGGCTTTTCTTCTCCTCAGTGCAACTATGTGCTAGGTCAGGCTGCTCTGGCTCCTGCCCACTGTCTCTCTATTCCCCTTCTAGCTCCTAGGCCTTCCTATGCAAGAAGAGCCCTTTTCCCAGTAGGGCAGCAACAGCATTTTTTTTTTTTTGAGACAGAGTCTCTCTCTGTCGCCCAGGCTGGAGTACAGTGGCATGATCTTGGCTCACTGCAACCTCTGCCTCCTGGGTTCGAGCGATTCTCATGTCTCAGCCTACCAGGTAGCTGGGATTACAGGCGTGTGCCACCATGCCCAGCTAATTTTTGTATTTTCAGTAGAGACTGGGTTTCACCATGTTGGTCAGCCTGGTTGCAAACTCTTGGCCTAGCAACAGCATTTTGAAAGATTTTGGGGAGGCTGGGCATGGTGGCTCATGCCTGCAATCCCAGCACTTTGGGAGACTGAGGCAGATAAATCACCTGAGGTCAGGAGTTCGAGATCAGCCTGGCCAACACAGTGAAACTCCATCTCTACTAAAAATACAAAAATTAGTTGGGCATGTTGGTGGGCACCTGTAATCCCACCTACTTGGGAGGCTGTGGCAGGAGAATTGCTTGAATCCAGGAGGTGGAGGTTGCAGTGAGCCGAGATTGTGTCACTGCACTCCAGCCTGGGCAACAGAGCAAGACTGCATCTCAAAAAAAAAAAAAAAAAAAGAGAGAGAGAAATATAATGTTAGCTACAAATATTTAAAATTTTCAAGTAGCTACATTAAGAAAATTAAAGAAGCAACTGAAATTAATTTTAATGATATATTTTATTTAACTTAATAGATCCAAAATAATATTTCAACATGTAATCAGTATAAGCATTCATCATTCATTACTTTTGTTTTGTATGAAGTCTTTGAAATCCAGTATCTTTTACACTGACAGCACATCGCATTTGGGGTTCACCATATTTCAAATGCCTAATAGCCACGTGTGGCTGGTGACTACTGTATTTGAGCACTGCAGGTCTAGTGGTTATAGCAGAAGCTTTGGAATCTGACTAACAAGGTCCTGCCACCCACAAGCTCTTTCCTTTCTGAGTCCCAGTTACTGCCACCTTAAAATGAGCTTGAAAACAGTATCCATCTCTGTTCTAACAATGATGCCAAGTACTTAACCTGATGCTCTTTGAATTCTCATGGCACCATTACTTGTTGATTATTATTAATAACCTCCATTTTACCAAAAACATCTCTGAGGCTCAGAGAGGCTAAGTAACTTTCCCAAGGTCACACAGCTTGACCAGGCAGTTAGTATTTGAACCCAGCTCTTCTAGAGCCCTAGGTCTTGACCATGCTGCTTCCCTTTCTCTCCTTTCCAACTAATCCCAGCTAGAGATAAAATGCCCCCTTTGACGCTAGGAATAAATTGTTTGCTAATCTGTGACTGGAGAAGGACAAGCAGGGAGGAAATAAGCCTTTCCTTTGGTGTAATTGGCATTCTTGCCTCTTTGGACCACTCTGTTCTCTGGGAGTTCACTTTCCTCCATCCTTTAGTTACTGAAACACCCTTGCCCCCGGCCACACTGGTATGACAGTTTCCTTGGCATGTCTGTCTCATTCCTGAGGACACACCCATGTTGAGGAGAGTGTGGGAACTGGCCTAGCTTTCAAGGCCACACCCAACCTATCTCCTAGCAGGGCGGTCTCTGCAGTTGGCTGATCTCTCTCTCACACAGCTTCTTCCTGGCTGCAGTTTCGGGTGGTCATGTTCTGTCCGGCTCTAGGTGCTTCTCCTGGGAGTTCTTGCTAGGCATCAGCTGAACCGACACTGGGAAAGGGTAGGTCCAGGGATGGCGATCTCCCCATGGGGATCTTTGCTGAGAACTTGCACCTCTGGCCACCAACTGATGTGTCCCAACACAGACCTTGTCTAGGTCAAAGGTCTAGCCCGTGGCTTTGGCAGGCAGTAGGGTCAGCTGCGCTTCCTGTGGTCCCTGGTTCCCCACCTGCCTTCTTGTGGTTAATATATTTTTCTTCACCCTCACTACTTCCTCTCAAGTGCGTCCACCTTCTCTAGGTCACTAATCTCATCAGTTTCTGTTTTGAAAATATGGAATGCTTAGCAAATTTGCATGTCATTTTTGCAGAGGCGCCATGCTAATCTCTATATTGTTCCAACTTTAGTGTATATGATGCTGAAACTGAGCACCAGCGTCATCCTTTTAAGCAGAAATCAGATCCTGTCACCGCTGCTCAAAGCCCGCCAGTTGCTTCCTGCCACCATTAGAATAAAACCTGAATCCCTTACTGCACTTCACTGACTTTGAGACCCTACATGATCTGGCTTCTGTTGCCTGCTTATTTCCTCTACTTTATTTTTATTTTTAAAAATTAATTAATTTATTTTTTGAGACAGTCTTGCTCTGTCACCCAGGCTGGAGTGCAGTGGCACAATCTCAGCTCACTGCAACCTCCACCTCCAGAGTTCAAGCAGTTCTCCTGCCTCAGCCTCCTGAGTAGCTGGGATTACAGGCACCCGCCACCACGCCTGGCTAACTTTTGTATTTTTTTAGTAGAGACGGGGTTTTGCTATGTTGGCCAGGCTGGTCTCAAACTCCTGGCCTCAAGTGATCCACCCGCCTTGGCCTCCCAGAATGCTGGGATTTCAGGTGTGAGCCACAGCACCCAACCTATTTTATTTTTTGACACTATCCACCTGGAGATTAATTTCCTCTACTTTATGCCCTTGTTCACCCGCTCCAGCCACACTTGCCTTCTTGCTATTGCGCTTGTGGCCAGCACTTTCCTGCCTCAGGGCCTCTGCAGGTGTCCTTCCCTAATGCTGCTCTTCCCTTGCTTGTTCCCAGGGCTGGTTACCTCTGCCTCTGTGGCAGACATTTACATCTTGTGAGAGACCTTCCTCAGGTACATCCCCCACCCTTTTCTAACTCTTTATTTGGCTTCGTTTTAATTCATGGCACTTATCATATGTATATAATAAATATATTACATATGTAATATGGCATATGAGGATGGGGATTAAAAATAACAAGTATGCAAACAATTTTTTTTTGTTTTGTTTTGAGATGGAATCTTGCTCTGTTGTGCAGGCTGGAGTGCAGTGGTGCGATCTTGGCTTACTGCAACCTCCGCTTCCCAGGTTCAAGTAATTCTCCCTCAGCCTCCCAAGAGTAGCTGGGACTACAGGAACACACCATCATACCTGGCTAATTTTTGTATTTTCAGTAGAGACAGGGTTTTACCATGTGGGCCAGGCTGGTCTGGAACTCCCGACCTTGTGATCCACCCTTCTCGACCTCCCAAAGTGCTGGGATTATAGGCGTGACCCACCACACCCGGCCATAAGTACTGTTTCTATTTGCATTCCATAGATGAGAAAACAGAGAGCCAGAGGAGTGAAACGCTTGCCTCAGGTTACAACTGGGAAAGGGTTGCTGGAGATCTGGCCCTAGTTCCCTCGAATCCAAGCCCATACCATAACCAGTTGTGTTATGCTGCAGCATGTCTTTGTAAATTGGGGATTTATTGTTGTGCTTGTCACACGTTTTGTCTTTAATTGTAAAGATAAAATGAGCGGCTGGGCGTGGTGGCTCATACCTGTAATCCCAGCACTTTGGCAGGCCGAGGGAAGTGGATCACCTGAGGTCAGGAATTCAAGACCAGCCTGGCCAACATGGTAAAACCCCATCTCCACTAAAAATACAAAACTTAGCCGGGCATGGTAACATGTGCCTGTAACCCCAGCTACTCAGGAGGCTGAGACAGGAGAATCGCTTGAACCCAGGAGGCGGAGGTTGCTGTGAGTCAAGATTGCGCCACTGCACTCCAACCTGGGCGACAAGAGCAAGACTCCGTCTCAAAAAAAAAAGAGCTGGCCGGGCGCGGTGGCTCAAGCCTGTAATCCCAGCACTTTGGGAGGCCGAGACGGGCGGATCACAAGGTCAGGAGATCGAGACCATCCTGGCTAACCCGGTGAAACCCCGTCTCTACTAAAAAATACAAAAAACTAGCCGGGCTAGGTGGCGGGCGCCTGTAGTCCCAGCTACTACGGAGGCTGAGGCAGGAGAATGGCGTGAACCCGGGAGGCGGAGCTTGCAGTGAGCTGAAATCCGGCCACTGCACTCCAGCCTGGGTGACAGAGCGAGACTCCGTCTCAAAAAAAAAAAAAAAAGATGAAAAAACCCAGAAAGTCAGGAAGATGAGGTCATTTACCCATGGTAACATGCTAGTAAACCCAGCAATCTCACTGGAGAGCTGAAGGGGTTTACTTACTGCCTCTATGTTCCAAGCTAGGGGACACACAGACATGCCCTTGACGATTCTTTGTTGCGTCTTCACCTTCAGGTAACTTATTTCTGGAATTCCAAGAGGAGTTGGAGCAAGTCTATAAGGTCTACTGTGCCAGCTACGACCAGGCCTTGCTACTGGTGGACACGTACAGGAAGGAGCCGGAGCTGCAGCGGCACATCCAGGGCATCATTGAGGCGGTGGTGTGAGTAGAACGGCCAGTGAGCGCTCATTCCTGCCCCACTGACCCAGGTCAGGGGCAGCTATGGTCTCACCCCTTTTTCATGCCATTCATGCTGCTTCAGGAGTGTTGCTCTGTCAGCGCCTGTGTTAGTCAGGATAGGGCAGGCTGTGCTGCAGAGACAAACAGCTCCCACATCTCAGTGGTTTCAAACAACAAAGGTTTATGTCTTCCTTTTGCTCCATTGAAGGCTGACTTGGGGTTCTGCTCTTTGTCATCCTCACTCCAGGACCCACACAGCAGCCACTGTCTGGAATGTTGCCAGTAACTGTGGCTTAAGAAAAAAGAGCTCTGGAGAGTCTAATGCTGGCAATTGAATGCTCTGGCCCAGAAATAATATTAATCACTTCTTGTAATTCATTGGCCAGGACTCATCATAGCTTCATTCAACAACCAGGAGGCAGGGTGTGCCATCCTACCACATGTCCAGAGTTGGAGAAGTAGAAACATTTGGGAACAGTGCTCATGACTAGCACAGGAAAGGGCAGTGAGATGAGGGTCCCATGTGTTCCCATAGTGATGAGAAGCAGGTGGGTGTCACCTGAGGATCCCTCTCTACCGGTGGCTGACGTCCTACCACATGGAAAAGGGACAGAATCACCAGTCCCTGGTGGACTCATAGCCTAGAATTAACACCAATGGGTAGAAGCCCCAGGTAGAAAAACGTAGAGAGTATGTCTTCAAATTTAAATTTTCGAATGGGTAACATGATTACATGATTCAAAAACTTTAAAACATCAAAATTTTTACAGTAAAAAATATCTGGCTGGGCTCGGTGGCTCACGCCTAAAGTCTCCTTTTCAAGAACCCATGTCCTAGTCCCTCTCTGCTTCCAAAAAAACTGTACTTATTTTCCCCTTTTATTCATCCTTCATGGGTCTTACAAACAGGCTTCTGCAAGGGTCACTAAATATATTTCTATAGTTTACAGATATAAAGGGAAGCAAGGTGCCAGAGATGAGACAAAAGGGAGAAGTGGAGGCTACGCAAACTAGAGACAACAGACCCCGTGTAGCATGCAGCTGCAGCACAGCTTAGCTGATTGTTGCTCTATCAAGTGGCTTTTGCTAGATAACAACCCCCAAAATGTAGTGGCTTAAAACAAACATTTATTTAGCTCACACTTCTGCATGTTAGCAATTTAGGTGTACTCAGTAAATGATTCTCCTGGAGTCATCAGCACCCTCAAATATCTGCAGTCACCTGCAGGTCAGCTTTGCTGATCCTGGCTGGGTTTTTTCATGTATCTGGGACACAAGAGCTGCCTCACCTGTGGTTCCATGGTCTCTCCTCTTCCCGCAGCTAGCTTATTCACATCGTGGTCTAAGGTTCTAAGGGCAGTGGGGGAGGGCTTGGCATCTAGAGGTCTGAGCTGGGAACTGGCACATCGTCATTCAAATGAAGTCCTAAGGCCAGCCCATACTTAAGGGGTGGGGAAATAAACTCCATTTCTTGGTAGTAGGAGCTTCAAAGTGACAAAGGCTTGTAGGGATTAGGAGAGGAATAATTGCAGTGATTTTTTTGCAAACCATCTGCCGCAGCTGCCAGGTAGAAATGAGAGTCTGTTGTGGCCAGAGCCTCCGATTTTTTGAGAGACGCCAGAGACTGAGATGTAACATCTCTCAAGAGTTCAGTGCTGGCATATAGCTCAGACATTTAATAAACATGGTGTGCGGGAGCCCCGGTTGCCCAGAAGCTGCTGTTTACTACATCCTATGCGCTTTGGTCTTTTCTAGCCAGGTCATCTGCGTTTTGCTCATGGGCTCTGGAGCTGGGCTACATGGTGGTGGATGTGGCTTGGCCTCTGGACATGAGAGAGCCATTTTATGTCTCAAGACCTAGTTTCCTTATGTGTAGGGCGGGAGGAATAACAGCCCTGCATGGGGCATTGATTCATTGCACATGAGTGACACTCAATGAATCCCACGTATTATAGTTATCTCGGCTAGGCAGGGATTCTATTTTCTCTGAGACCACACTGTAGTTCTCAATTTTATCAGTGCCATGCTCCCTTGTTATAACAAATATTACATAAATTTACTATCCTGAGACATATCCTGAAATATATGTATAAATAAGTATATCTCTCCTACCTATATGTGTAACTGAAAAAAATCAATATAATGACTTCACTATAAAGAAGAAATAAAAGGAAAATCATTCCAATACAATGCTATGTAGTTCAGTGTGCATATGCTTGGACACCACTACTAAAAGATATAAGAAAGCCATCAGATGCTTGCAGTGACTTATAATAAATAAGTCTGGATTTAAAGAAAGAGATATCTGAAGCTGTTCTGTACAAAAAGTACAAAAAAATGAAAGAGCACAGAATGACAGTGACAATAAACCTGACTTCCTTGTTTATGATAAGAGAAAGAACGAAATAACATCGTTGAAATGGGGATTTATAAAAGGTAGTGTCCTAGTAATTCCCAGTATTATGATATATGACTGGATGGAATCCAAGAGTGATAAACATATTTAGGGTTTTAGAAGCGTAGCACATTTCAGGGCCTTTGTTCAGTCTCTGAATGTTCAGGGGGACACGTGAGACATGGAACAATTCTCTGTAGTTCAGGACTGTCCTTGCAAGACATGCAGTGTACCTGGTCCCTGCCTGTTAAATGCCAGGCATTACTTTCCAGAGCCTGGCCAAT